GGACATGAAGGCACTACAGAGGGAGCAGTAGGCCAAGAATGGGTGGGGGAGGATATGCACCCCTTTTTCTTTTTCTCAAGGTAAACAGCACGCGTAAGGCCTTGAGCCTTGTTCTGCATGCCGAGAGCCTTGTTGTGCAAGTCGAGAGTGGAGCTGAGGCCCCTACACAGCTGTGTTCGTAAGTTTTTTTTTCTTTTTTTTACCCCTGCTTTTGGCGGCAGGGCGTGCAGGCATTCCTTGGGTCTTTAACAGTAGTCGTTTAACCATTGGGCCACAAGTGGTGGAGTGGCAGAACTGGAAAATGCAACGAATGGGCGACGGTTTTTCCGCGCTAAAAAAAACAAAAATAAAAATAAAAATAAATTTTCCTAATATTTTTCTTAATTTAGGTCAGCGAGGGGAGTCGTGGTTTCTCATTTACAGAGAGAGAGAGAGAGAGAGAGAGAGAGAGAGAGAGAGAGAGAGAGAGAGAAGATGTGGCGAAAAGAGCCGAAGCATCTTGAAGCACACTACAAAAAAATTGCAGCAACAGTAAAATTTATCTTCGTCGCTGGTCTTTGCACTAGCCGAGTAAGCATGCTCAACAATCAGCGAGAGAGAGCGAAAGGAAGAGAAAGAGAGAAAGAGAGAGAGAGAGAGAGAGAGAAAGAAAGTAAGAGAGAAAGACAAAGACAGAGAGAAAAGGAGATCACGCAGCGAATAAAATTGAAGGATGCTGCAGCACAGTGTACAAACAACCACAGCAAGACGAAACTTCTCTTCACCGCTGGTCTCTGTACCAGCCCTAGTAACCAACTAATCTAACACCTACAGTGCCCTAAACTACAACACAGTGCTCTACTTGCCGTGGTGAAAAGTTTTACACTAACCTACAATATCCTTTACTGTAGCCTGCACCACTGCAAAGTCTGCCCCAGTACTGGAGGGCAACAGCAAAAAGAGTGCCCTAGTAGAGGAGGGCAACAGGGTGAGAAGGAAGCAAGGCAACAGCAAAACGAGTGCCTCATGGTTGGAAGGGACAATCCTTTGAGGGCTCAAGCTGGCTCACACCAACAGAAAAGTACAACCGAGAAGAGCCGCAAGAGACAGTCCTAGCTGGCCCACACCAACACAAACAACATTATAGGACTATAACAAAGAAGAGGGCTCAAGCTGGCACGCACCAACACAAAAGTACAAGGGTGGCAAAAACACAGAAGCTCTCGGCACAGTCGTCAAGATTATAGCCCTATAACTGGGAGGAACTTCTCAGGACTGCAAATTGCAATTCAGAGCAAAAGAGGACTGCAATTTGTCTTGGCTAACTTTTGCCTCCGCCAGCCTCCCTTGTGTGTGCCCCTAATGCAAGAACACTTTTTTTCGCGCGAGGGCTTGTAACCTTGTCACCGACGATCTTCTGTTTCCTTGACCTCGTAGTTGTCCCACTTGAGGAGTCTTGGCTGTGTGCAGGTCCCGCTGCCTCTCGCTGTGCGAGCGCTTCGGTGCCTGGTCCAGCTGTTGCTGGCTCGCTCGCTGCCCCTTGTTCGCTCGCTGCTGCTGCTGCTAATGCTACTGCTGCTGGTGGTATTGCTACTGCCGTTGCGGGTGGTTCTGTTGCTGCTGCTGCGGCGGGTGGTTCTGTTGCTGCTGCTGTTGTTGCTGCTGGTGCTGGTGCTGCTGCTGCTGCTACTGCTGCTGGTTTTGCTGCTGGTGCTGTTGCTGCTGCTGCTGGTGGTGGTGCTGGTGCTGCTGCTGGTGGTGCTGGTGCTGGTGTTCTTGCTGGTGGTGCTTCTGTCGCGGGTGGTCCTGCTGCTGCTGGTTCGGCTGCTGTTGCTACTGCTGCAGCAGAGGTCGGCGTTGTTGCTGCAGTTGTATCCTCTGCAGCGACTGCACAATTGTAAGTCTTATCCTCCTCTGCGGCCTCATCGCGCCTGCTTTCTCTTTCAATCGTAGGGCCAATATCATTCAGAATGCGAGCGCGGATTCCCTTGATGCAGCGCGGGCACTTGTCAACCACCAGGCAATTCCTGTTGCAGAAAACTCTGGCGATTGCACCTGTTCTGGAGCCGGAAAAACCGTCGATGATATAAGCGTCAGGAGGAGAGAATTTCTCGATCAACCACGCGTACAAGGCAACGGGCTTCTGGTAAGGGCACAACACCTCGAGGTCAGTCGGATGAATATACTTCTTCATGACTGCATCGAACAGCCTGTAGTTGTGCCTGGGGTCCGTGCTGGCAAAAATGTAATGAGCTGCCTCTCGAGAATCACTTTGGTTGTAGTAGCCGATGACACAAAACTCTGTCGCGCTCACAAGACGAGGCCCTCCCGTGTTCATGACATTCGGCTTGCACCACGTGACCACATCCTCTCCTGCATTGCAAACCATCTTGAACGCTCGTCGAACCGAGGGCAGCATGTCCAGAGAGCAGAATCCGGCAAATGTCCACAACGGTCCACTGCATACCTCCTTGATGTTCTCAAGGACCTGAACAATGTGCTCCTCAGGAAAAGGAACAGAATCGCCAGAGGACATTGGCAGATTAAACCCGTACGGAAAGTCGCAGATAATCAGAGAGAAGGGCAACTTCTCTGTCAAGTTCTTCAAGTCCATCATATCGCCTCCCAGGACTTTCACGTTGCCGCGGTGTTCTTTATATTTCACCTCCGTCCAGTCCAAGAAGTGAGTACCAGCTTTTTCTAAGACGACGAGTTTAGACCTTGTTCTTCGACTTTCGGCCTCCCTTTTGTCATTGAGCTCCTTCCACGCCTTCGCTCGAGCAATGTGCTGTTGCAAAGCTCGAGGTACATCCGCCTTCTGCTTCCAGTTACTGGCGAAGGGCTCCAAAACATCCTTGGTTGTGTGGAGTGGGTAAAGTTCTTTGCAGCTAGCCCAATGTGCTGACTTTGTTTCTGTTAAGAAATACCTAACCACTCGACCGAACCTCTTCGCTACCTCAAACTTCTTCCGCGTACCATCAATCGAGAGTTGCTTTGCGGCCACCTGTTCGAGGATGGGAATAACAGACTCGTCATCGAGAGAACCCATATCCACCCAATGCGCCTGTGGCATGTCAGTTGGCTCAGCTACAATTTTCCCATGCTCCACCTGCGCTCTAGGATTGAAGAAACGCAGTACCTGACGTTGTGCTTCAACAAAATTGAATTTCTTCAATCTTTTCTTCGATGCCGGCCGAGTTCCTTCTGAGTCACCCGCCTCGCTATCATCACTAGAAATTTTCGCTTTTTTCCCAGTAGGGACCTTCATTTTCTGGTCCAGACAATCCCCTTTCAACCACATATCGAATATCTTCAGCTGAAGGGCCCACACTTCCTTGGACCGCATGTAGACCTGGAAATGTGGATCCGACCTCTGCAGAAGATCTTTGTCTGGGTTTGAAAATCCAATTTCCTGCAAGCATACAGTCTTCGTAGCGGCATTATTTTGGCAGCCCATCGATTTGAACACCGCTCGTCAGCATTTTCCTGGTGGAAGCCTGCAATGTGGTTGTGCTCGTGCGCGATCTTACGAGCTTCCTGGACGGTGAGGCCGACGTAAATGAAACAATTTGCCTTTTGGAAAGCAGAGACAGTCGGGTGAAGGTTCCTAAGGCGTTCTTTGGCCTCCCTTGTATGTCCACCACCGAGCACGAAAACTCTGTAGCCTCCAGAGAGCAGCTTGCCGAGATCCACATCTTCCTTCGTACGAGCTTGCGAAGGATCAATCAAGCCGACGTGAGTTAGAGTGTCTGCAAAAGGGTTCCTCTTCATGGAGTCTACGATCCGTCGGACCTGCCTCTCCTCGGGCTCGCGAACCTCCAGTGGTCTCTTGCCACTGTCATCAGCAGGAGGTCGAAGGAGGCCAGACGCTGGAAGGGTGAACGAGGTGGCGTCAAGCTTCTTGTCATTAAGCTTTTTTAACTCCTCCGACATTCGAGAGAGCTTCTCAGCCTCGTCGTTAGGAGTAAGCTTCTTCGCCACTTACAACTTTTCTTTTGTTTGATCCTTCCCTTTCGCGGACTTCTTCTCCGCCGTTTTCCTCTTTCCAAACTTTGGCTCCTCCGCTTTCTTCGTATCTTTGGCAACCGTTTTCCGCGCGAGCATTTTCTTTTTCGTTTTCACACCCGAGCCCGCATCTGCTGCGGCAATGGATCCAACACACGCTTGGGGCGAATGAAAAGGTGACCCTTCCCGCTGCCTTGACCCTGAGGGAGCAGTCCCTTTGGAGACCCTCACTCGACCTTTCGCAGGTTGGGACGCAGACGACCCTGCGGTGAGTGACTCTGCTCTCCTCGAAACACGGACCTCCTGACGAAGTGCTGGAAAGGTATACTCTGCGACAGTTTTACAAAATTATTGCAAAGGAACACGTTGAGCGAAACAAGGAGTGAGAACGAGACCGCGAAAGTAGTCTTATAGCACTACAATATGAGAAAAGAGCACCAAACTGTGAAAGTAGTCTTATAGCACTATAATTTCAAAAGAGAGCACCGCACTGCGAAAACAGTTAAGAACATCGGACTGCGAAGGTAGTCTTGTAGCACTTTAATTGGAAAAGAGAGCACCAGACTACGAAAGCAGTCTTATAGCACTATAATGTGAAAAGAGAGCACCGAACTGCGAAAGTAGTATTTTAGCACTCTAATTTGAAAAGAGAGCACCGCACTGCGAAAACAGTTAAGAGCATCGGAGTGCGAAGGTACTCTTTTAGCACTACAATTCGAAAAGAGATCACCAGACTGCGAAAGTAGTCGTCTGACACTCTAATTTGAAAAGAGAGCACTGTACAGCGACAACAGTTAAGAGCACCGGACTGCAAAAGTAGGATTATAGCACTATAATGCGAAAGAGACTGCAAAAGAGCACTAAAAGTAGGACTAGAGCACTAAAAGTAGGATTGTAGTACTCTTTAGCACCAGACTGCAAAAGAACACTAAAAGTAGGATTATAGCACTATAATGCGAAAGAGAATTACAACACTGCAAAAACAGGATTATAGCATTACAATGTGAATGAGAATTATAACACTGTAATGTAAAAAGAACACCGGACTACAAAAGCAAGATTAGAGCACTTTAATGTCACCAGAGAATTGTAGCAGCGCACTCCGAGAAATGATTTCTAGCAGTGCACTTCAAGAACAGATTTGTAAGCACTAGCCTGGACAATTAGGATTAGAGCACTAAAATACAACAGAAAAATTTCCACGAGAAATGAAAGTTGAAAAAACATTCTATAAAAACAAAATGATAAAAAATCCTTCATATTTATAAATTATCATTCCAATGTTCGTCAAATTCTAAAATTTTCAGTTTTATTTGATAAGTTCCCGTCTAAATATGAGCTTTCCCTTCCGACTACATCTATTTGTTCAAGATGGAATGAAAGTCTACACGAGTTTATGAAATGTTTTAATTAAATTTTCATTCTACTACAAGAAATATCTTCTAATTTAGATTGGATTAACCTATTTATGACTGAAAATCCTTACTTAGAATGACAGTCCAATTAAAATATTTCATGAACTCGTCCAAACTTTCATTCCATCTCTAGCATGCAGTTCAAATAAGAAGGGATACCCCATTCTTGGAAGGAAAGTTTTCAAGTAAAACGAGAAATTTTAAAATTGGAATGACATTTTTTAAGATAGAATGAAAATTTAAAACTTAGAATGTAATTTCACTATAAAATGATTATTTAATTGAGGGAAATTTCTCCGTTGTATCACAAGAGAATCGTAGCGGCGCACTCCGAGAACTGATTTGTAGCACTAGACTACAAAAGCAGGATTACAGCGCTTTACTACTGTTCACTGAAAAAAGAGACCTTCCTCAAACAAACAGTCGAAACCTTGAAGCCCTTCTGATTCTTCTTTTTGAGATGGGAATTCAGCTTCTGCTCCCAAACAACCATGCTTGCACGACGCAGAACGAACTTGGTCAAAATCGACCACACATTCACCCAAGCAAGTGCCAGATCCTTGTGGCTGCCTCATGAAGAGGCGAAGTATATTAGATCCTCGCAAAATTTGTATCTCTCCTGGTCTGCATGCTTGGTCCACAGTTCCACAGCCGATTGGAACAACACAATGCTCCACAGGCAAGAGATTAATTCCTCGGACTGCTTTGCCCTCCTCAAAAACTTGTCGATGTACACATTTTGGTTCGCCCTCTCTTGTTCAGCAGTCCGCTCAAAGACAGCGTCGTCTTCTTCCTCATCCTCTTCTTCCTCGTCTCCTTCTTCCTCATCCTCGTCACCCTCTTTACCCTCGTCTACTGCTTCCTCGCGCTCGCTACCAAAGTCACCCTCGTCACCCTCCTCATCCTCCTCACCCTCCTCATCCTCCTCCACTTCCTCTTCCTCCTCCGGACCAAGAGTGTCTTCTTCCGATTCAGTCACTTCAAACTGAGACTGGATAGTAAGCGTTTTCTCCGCATCAGCGCTGTAGTGCAAAGTGGGGATTTCAAACACACCCTCAAAATCAACAAGGGCGCCCTGGCTGCGCCATCCAGTACTTGTTGAGGTCCCTGAAATGTCCTTGATCCTCAACGAGTTTCCCTTCGACTTCATCATTTTTTATGCTCTCGGACCTGGAACACAGGAAATCGGAAGTCTCAACCCTAAACAAAAGAAACCCCATGCAAGAGTCAAGTTCATATGTTGATGAATTTAGAGGACTAGAAACAATGTCGCAGACGGGTAGCTTAGGAGTCAAGTGCAACAAACTAACTCAATCTTTATGTTTGTGTCTGTTGATGTCCCACAGAGAGAGAGAGAGAGAGAGAGAGAGAGAGAGAGAGAGAGAGAGAGAGAGAGAGAGAAAAAAAAAAAAAAAAGAGAGAGAACGTCTGCTTTTCCTTTTAGAGCCCAGAGACACAAAGAGGGAACGCTCGTACACAACATTTCAGTAGACAGATGTAAAGGATTAACAACAAACTTAAACAAATGTTTAGGTGTTGTATGTCAGTCACGATGAATTTTTAGGACTATATTTGTTTAGGTGCTGTCTGTCAGTTACGATGAATTTATAGGACAATAAACACTCTCTCTCTCTAGCTAATCTGACCAGCTGACCTATCGCTACCCTTCTTCCCACGAATACAACGTGCAGTCATTATGTATTTGCGGTATCTTTCAGTCTAAATACAGCTAGGATGACCGTGCGTTGTATTCGGGGGAAAAGAAAGCAGGGTAGCGAATTGGCCCCAGCGGACCTGTCGCTACCCATCTTAACCCGAATACAACGTACAGGTCATTACAACTGTATGTATTTGGGGCAACTTTGAGTCTAGATACAACAATAATGACCTTTCGCTCCGGTTAAGGCGGGTAGTGAACTGGCCCTCTGACGTAACCCCGCCTTCCCCCGCCTTCCCCCGCCTTTCGCCGACGGCAGTGACCACCTCCTAACCCCCACAATTTTCAGGAGATAATTGTTGTCCCTGCCACGTAGGATAGGAGGAATAATGATCCAAACAGCAAGGGACCGATCGGAGGGATCCAGAGTACTCGCACAACACAAAACAAAATCGATGTTGCAGGCTCTTCTTTCTGGAGGGATCCAAAGTACTCCCAAAACAAAACACGCAAAGATAATGAAAAAGAATGTTCGGTGCTCTCAGGCTCTTCTTTTTCTTAGTGTGAAAGAAGCGGCATATGATAGGGCATTTCCTTATACTTTTTCTTTCTTTTGTGCTTTTTTCTTTTTCTTTTTTTGCGGGCGAAGCTGCAACGGGTTATCAGGTGTGGATGAGATTCTCTCCTCTCAGCCTCCTGTCAACTTATTACGCGCTGTCACGCGGCGTGTGAAGAACAAAGATTGCTATTCTTCAAATTGGAGGGCAGAGAGGCAGCAAGCGAGGGAGAGGGGCAGAGAAAGGGAGGGAGCGGGAGGAAGAGGGACGGAGAGGGCCGGAGAGGGAGGGAGAGGGACGGAAAGGGACGGAAAGGGAGGGAGAGGGAGGGAGGGGGAGAGAGAGGGAGGGAGAGAGAGAGGGAAAGGGAGGGAGGGAGAGGGAGAAGGCGGAGGGAGGAGGGAGGAGGGAGG